GTCTTGATCTTGCTGAGAAAGTTATTTGACAGGGGACGATGTAAATTTGCGTATACCCTCCACCAAGTGGTGTGCATTCAAAATCCCTTAAATCGGTCGGGACGTTTATATGTTATTGCGTTATGTGGTATAAACAAAAAAATTTAAACACTCAAGTTGGAAAACTTTGGTAGGAACTTTACAGAAAACATGTAAAAACGATGATAAGTTGGGAAAAATTTAGTACGAAAATGTGCTATACAATGATAACACAAAATACCAAATTAAAGCCAAAATACCGAATACCGGGGGTACCGTTATATGGGTCGATACCTGAAACTTGGGTCGATATTAATAATTTTTCGTACAGATATGTGTTATTCAATGTAATCCAAAATACCAAATTACAGTCACTTCGGTTGGGAAACCTATCTTAAATCCTAAAATATCGAGTATTGGGGAGTACTGCTATATGGGCACTACGCCGAAACGTGGAACAATATTTGCAATACCAAACATCATAAATGAACAAGCAATGTCTGTGCAAAATTTCAGAGCTCTATCTTAAATATTGCCACAGATATCGTGATTTCAACTGACTGGTATATAATTTTATTCTGGGGTCTCCGGTGAATATTTTGAGGTGTTGCAAACGGAATAGCAAATTTAATTTACACACCTTCTTATGGTGGAGGGTATAATTAAACGGGACAAATATGCCAAATTGCAGCCACTACAATGGGAATATACAACTAAAGCCTTCAAAATACTGACCGCAATATGGACGCTATTGCAAGTTTTTTCTTTATTCTCATTATAATACCAACCTCGTTTGTTGAATTAATTTTATTCATATTTTTATCAGCGTTAGACAAAATGAAGCACCAAGAACGACTTTGTTTAATAATTACGCATAATTTGTTTATTTTTGCATAAAATTTAGTTTGTGTTTTGTCTAATCTACACCTGTTTACATTTTACGATTAGGTTTTCTAAACGCTGAGATTGTTCTCTTTATGTTTTTTTTTCTTTTTAAGAGCATACAAATGTCATACTCACATATATTGTATCATTTAAAAATAAGAGCTAATGAAGTAAGCTCCCCTATGAACAGTTGAGCCCCACAATGGAGAGTAAACAATTAATAAAGAGTGGACAGTAAAAATAAATAGTGTATTGAAATATTTATTCTGCTCCTTATTTGCAAACAAAAAATGTCAATTGTCAATTTAATTCATGTTGTTTTGTTTTTATGCGGCTATTCATTTTTGGGGGGAAAATAAAATGTTTTATCTTGCTTTATTTATTTTATATTCAGTTCCCCTGTTTTTGCGAGAGACAGAGAGAGTAACTAACTATCTGTCATTGAAGAGGTTGTTTGCGGCTTTTTTGTTTGTTTGTTGATTCTCACTCGACTTGGAAGTCTTTTAGTTCTGTGGGTAGAGTTTAGTTCTTAATTTGTCGGTGATGGTGGTGTGGTAAACGAATTCCGTTCGATTTTTTTGTATTTTGCCAAATTTTGATCAATTTTCCACGTGTAACACTTGTTTGAGAGTGCTTTCGCTTTTTTAATTCCAAGAAAATAAATAATAAAGCGCGACTTTATTTTGGAATTAGTGCAAAATAATAATAAAGTGATTTAATAATACTAAGAAGATAATTATTTATTTCAAGTTCTAAAAACATTTTTGTAGTAAAAGATCACAAAATTAGTGTCCACCATGCCATTAAAAAAGGCTCAAAGTGTACGTAATTTATTTATTTGTTGGTTTGTTTGTTACACATGGTTCTTACCTCATGACAATTATTGAAGTCAGCACGCTGATCAATGCATTTTATACACTCACAGAAAATAATGACATTAATTTCATGACAATTAATAAACATTTATAAAAGAAGTTAAAAATGTGTTGTTTTGTAATATTTTTGTGAATTAATAAACATAAAACATATGTTAAACATAATACCAAAGTAACCACAAAATGTTACCACGACTTTCAATATTCCGTATACTCAATTTCAATATTGTAGTAAGGGATAAAACATACCAACAACTCCTCTGAAATATTTGAACAATTAATAAAAGCCATAATTTTCTAGCAAAATCAGCGGCTTAATTCTAGTTTAGTTAAATCGATCAGATTTTTTTTTTTTGACTTTTTCCCCCAGAAAAATGGGTATTATTTTAAAGCTTATGAAAATATCTTTCCCTTGAGTGGTTATTTAAAATCGTTTGAAAGATACTTTAAAAATGGGTTTTGGACACCGATTTTTTTTTTTTTTGAAAAACTTCCTAAAATTTGAACTTGGGTCCATTATAGCCTCTCACAAATCATGAATCAAATGATACACCCTTTCCAAAATGGTGTGATATGTATATCGAACCATCTGTTGTGGATCAAGAGATATGGGCGTTAAAACCCTACAAAATCAAAGAAATTGTGTCGACGAGCCGGTGTTGGTATCTGTCCATAGGAGAACGACTTAAATCCACAACCGAAGGTCCGCCACTTAAAGAAATTATTCTATTTAAAAGGAGATTCTGTCGCGTAGCCGGTGTAGTTATCTGTGCAAAAGAGAAAGTCTTTAAACCCCGGCCGAAGGCCGAAAACTTAAACAACTATTCTATTTACATGGAGATTCTGTCGTGTAGAAAGAATTTACTTGCTTTTGTAGGGTTCTAAGGCCCAAATATTTTGATACACAACATATACAACCACATATTGTCCCATTTTGGAAAGGGCAAAATGTAGTCTATCATTTGAGGGACAAGTTCGACTTTTGGGGAGTTGTTCAAAAAAAATCGGGGTCCAAAACCCAGTTTTTGACAGTATCTCCCAAACGAAGTAACCTTCATATCACCACTTAATTGAAAGGTATTTTAATAATCTTTACCATTATATCAATTTTGTATTTATCGGATTCATAGAACCGGGTATAACCGGGTACATTGTACACGAACTTCCGGGTTGAAAAACCGTAAATATGTACGCCATAGAATGCAAATTTCGCAATTTTTCACGCAAAATTCAGGGTCCAATTGACCCGCTAAATAATGACCGATCTTTATCAAAACAGACATGCTGATTCGTTGGCCCGATCCCCTTCGTAATGTAAAATTTCGCGATGTTCGGGCCATAATTGTCTCTGGATGACAAAAATTAAGTATTTTGTCTTTACCAAAAGCAATAGGGGTCTTCATTGTGCAGATCCCATCCTACATGCAAAATTTCGTCAAGATTGGTCCATAATTGTGGCCTGTATCGTGTTTACAAATTATAATGGACAGACGCACATGTCTAGATAGACTCAGGTAATCGAGATATAACGATCGGTATACATAAAGGTGGGTCTAGGACCAATATTTCGCGGCGTTACAAACTCTTGAGTCTGCACAAAGCTATAATACCCTGACAACATAGTTGTTTATGGTATAAAAATCGATTTTGCAGAAAATGCGTTTTAAATTTTCAATTGACTGACTCCTTTCAAAGGACAGAGGACCTTCTACAACTTCTCAATCATTAACTCAAAAGTCACGATTTTTGACAAATGACAACACCAGCTACGCAATAGATTTTCCTTTCAAATGGATTAGAATGGACTTTAACCTTTCCAAATTGATACCCAAATATATGATATGTTAAAACGTATGAAAAAACAAGGGTCACAGTTTTTGTAATTTGGTATATCTGGTTAATGGGAGACAGACAATGATCAGTGTATGCCCTAACCAGGTCTGCCATATTTGCTGAGTTATCGGGATTTTGATAAGTTTTTACACTAAAAATGGGAAATGCCGATTTTATCCTCAGAATTGACGATTTTTCAACAATCGACACAAATTGTCTAAGTTTTTTTATTTAATACGGCATTAACTTACAAATATGTGAACATGATGGGTTTAAATCATTATAAGAAGAGGAAAAAATATTTTCTAGATATTTGTAAAGAATTTTATTTTAGAAACTGAAAGCCAATCTTTAGAATCCGGGTTTCGGGAGTTATGCTTTTTGAATTTTGAAGAAATTTTTGAAATTGCTGAAGTTAACTTGAAGATTTTTTGGAAAAACATATCCGAAATTAAGCGTCAGCTTTTTCCAGTTGTGTCTAAATTTGTACAAATAATCAGCAAATGTGGAACGAATTTTTAGTCAGATAAACCATAACAAAACAAAAATTGGAAGCTCACTTGATAATGATTAATTGGAAGGGATTCTTTGTTCTAAATATTACCTCAAACTAAATAATTCCAATTGTTTTAATATCAAAATTGATAATGAATTACTAAAAATGTGTAATAAAAACATGTTCTCTGTACATTTAAATCTTAAAAATATCACTAATGTACTTATACTTTATTTAAAAAAATCAAAATTTTAATGTTATTTTTTATACAGAATTGAATTGGTTATGCTTTTTTATTGAAATTTTTTGTTTTGTTATAAGCCAACAAATATGCCCTTATTTGTAAACTATACACTTCCGATTTTTCCCGATTTTTGAATATGTCTTCTTGAGTTCCTAAAACTTCCCTTGAAATATTATAGGGCATTCGTCTAAATTCACGTCATTTAAAAAAAACGTTACTGTTTTTTTCTAAATTTTTTGACCGCGTCCATCAGCTGCAGTCCAGTTCTGTATTTATAGGAGATATTATTACATTCTCTAATTGCAATAATATCCATTATAATTTGTAAACGCCGCAGTATTTATTTCCGCAGTGGTAACCAACTAATATCACAACTTTTTTAATACTATTTTTTATTATTTTTTCTAGACACCCACATATTTAAGAAATCTTTTATTTTTTTTATATATGCCTTGCATTTTTCCTTTTTTTTTTGTTTTATCAATGCACGAACAAATAAAAACTGACGCATACGTTATTTGATAATTAAGCGTTTATTTTTCTCACTTCACAATCTCAGAAACGTTTATCTAATTTATTGATAATATCTACAGACATTATGTTTATTGATAACAATATAATAATTTCAACATTTTTCTATTTTTCACAGGGTCCCTCGTTTTTAAAACGTGCCAACACCGATAAATTACGAGAAGTCTTCCTTAAGTACGCCTCATATCAAAAGAATGGTGAACATTTTATGACCAGTGAGGATTTTGTGCGAAAATTTTTGGGTCTATTCACAGATGTTGCATTTAATGATGTAAGTATTTGCATAAACAAAAATAAATAAACAAAAGAAAAGAAAAAAGAAATACAATTTGTCTGACGAAATCTTATTTAAATGAAAACAATTAGAAACTAACAAAAAAGTAAAAAAACAATAGTTCTTATTTTGGGATTTTAAAATACAAATCACATGCTGTATCAATTTGTTTAAATGGCAGTGGTCCAAATGAAAACGAAAGCGTGTTGATCACACCTCTTTTTGTTTTTATGTTGAATAAATTTAATTTTTATTGGGTAATTAACCCTTTTGAGATATATTTTTTTAAGTTTAGAAAAATAAAAAATATATGTCTTCTATAGATAGTTTAATACGTCATAACATAACACATAAGTAAATGACATGCATTTCCGACTTATAATACATACGTCAGAAACGTAGGAAACCCACCCAAAACCATTAGGTTTTTGACAAAATAGCTATTTCCATTAATCAATTTGGAAATCCATATAAAATATAAAATTTTTTTTCTCTAAAAATTTTGAATTTTTTATCAGTTCTAGGAAAGAATAGTCATATAAATGTAAAAATAATATATATTCTTGAAAATAACTGTATATGGTAATAATATTAAAATAAATGACGTTTACTACATTTATTACATATTATACTGGTATATGACGTTTTCGACGTTTACACCTTTTTGAATATCGAAAACAAAAAAATTCGTCACACGGACCATCCCTGGTTGTAGGTAATCACCAGTACAAACTACAATCGTAAATTTATCTTTACAACTCTAATGTAATCTATAAACTACAGGAGGACTATTTTATTATCACAGATTCGAAATAACAATTAACAACAATTAATTGATTTTGAATGGTTCTTTTTCAGAATGTATAGATAAGATTGATTTTGAGAATTTGAATATATTAGGTTGGGGAAAAAGAAATCCATTATTTTTATATGAATTATAGGAATTAATTCAGCATGATTCAGAATGTCCGATTTGGGTCAAATATGATTTGTTTGTTGCCATTTTTAATGCCTATCTCATAGAAGTCCTGCTCTCTATTTGTAAACAAAGTCTAATAGTCCATTTTCACAATCCTCCCTAGATACCAATTTTTTTTATCATTAAAGACATTTTATTATGCAAGAAAAATATGATAATCGCTTGGTGCCGAGTCCGGACTGTATGGCGGATGCGTTCCAAACCAAGCTCCTGAAGTTGTCGAGTCACTTTATGCATTAAAACTTTCCAACCAAGCTCCCGAAGTTTCAGGCGAGTCACTGTAGATGTGTGTGGCTTTGCGTTGTCCTGGTGGAACATGACACCTCTCCTTTTGGCCAATTCTGGTCAATTGTAAATTGTTTAAAAAAGTTTTATGGTCCATTTTTACCTCCTGGACGATGTTACGACTGCTAACATGCCGGTCAACCTCGATCATTTCTCGGATTTTATCGATATTTTCGTCGTCCGACCTACTTGTGCACGGTGCATCTTTAAGATCAAAAATTCCTAAACGGAATCAACGAAACCAAAATTGCACATAACTGGTTGTAACAGTATCGGAACCATAAACACCATTCACAATTTTAAACGCTTGGCTTGCATTTTCGCTTTTGTCAAAGAAAAACTGTAAAATGTACCGAAGTTTTCCTTTGTTGACTTCCATTTTAACACCCTGTAACTCACAACTGAATGCATCAAGCACCCTTCCAACGAGCATAAATCTGAAATTGTTTGATCGATACTTTACGAGAAATCTATGAGAACAGTCATCTGCCGAAAAAATAATGGATCTCTTTTTCCCCAACCTAATACTAACTAAGCCTCCCTCCAGGTCGTCTATAAAAATGTCATTCAGCACGTCTGTAAAGACTCCTTCAGCTCGTCTGTAATCCCTTCCTATTATAAATAAAAAAATCCCTTCAGCTCGTCTATAAGAGCATTCAACTCGTTCATAAAGTCTCCCTTCAGCTCATCTAAAAATACTCACTTCAGTTCGTCTATAAATACTCATTTCAGTTCTTCTATAAATACGCTATTCAGCTCGCCAATATCGACTTCCTTCATTTCTTCTATAAAGGCTCCCTTCATTTTGTCTATAAAGACTGCCTTCAGCCGTCTATAAATATACTATTCAGTTCTGCCATAAATACCCTATTCAGCTCACCTATTAAGACTCCCATCAACACATCTAAAAATACTCCTATCAGCTCTTCTTAAAGGCTACCATAAATCTTCGTCCATAAAAAAACAGGCTTCAGGTCGTATAAAAATATTTCCTTCAGCTCGTCTGAAAAGAATCCCTTTAGAAGGTCTGTAAAAAGTCCTTTCATCTCCTCTATAAAGACTCCCTTCAGCTCGCTTATATAACTTAATTCTGCTCTACATAACTACCTAGTCAAGTGCATTTAGAATTTGCATTGTTTTTTAATACCAAAGTCTTAAAAAACTAATTTAGATTTTTTGTTTAATAATTTAAATTAAATTATTGATAATTATGTCTAGCCTGATGTGAACAAACAAATTGATTGCATTTTGTTTTGTAGGTGTAGATAAGAAAATTATATTTTTTATACTGAATGCATTTCCCTAGTAATGATCCAACCGCACACGCTTTCTAAATAAATTATGTAACAAATATTTTTTTACAATATTTGTAATTTTAAAAATTTACAAAAAATCTAAGAATTTTACATTATCTTTAAATTCCTTTCTTATGACGTACTACTTCTCAAAAAATTCAACACGTCACACATAATTGGTCTTTTAAAATATCGGAGGGGGGTCCCGTTATCATTCACCCAAAATCTATGTCAATGACTGTTAAATTTTGAATATTGGTCAGGCTTCAGGTGCATGTTTAGACATCCATAATCAATATTCGATTGATAACACTATCGCGGATTTTAATAATAGAAATAAAATTTACGCGTGAATTGTATCGCGAAATATGAATGGGAATCTAAAACAAAAATGAAATGAAAATAACACTTGTCCGTCCGACCTTTAATCCGGATTAAAAGTCATTGCTTGTCGTCGAAAAGTTTATAACAACCTATACAAATTTTTATTGCTTTGTTTGCAAACAAACAAAAACAAAAAAATACTCAAACAATAAAATGTTCTTGTAAAATAGTTTTGGATCATGGGAGGTGTGCTTGCATACTTCCCCAAGCATCGGCAAAGTTGACATTTCTTCAACTTCTCCGCTCCGTCGAGTGATATGACATTGCCAGATGAAAATAGGCAAACTATTTTATTCAGACGTTTTAGAAATCAACAACCAAGGTTTTCATACTGGCAGTGTTGATCCCGCACTGCTCCGAATGTCGCGTACATCGGTCCTCCACCATTACACTTGCTGTAGTTGTTTTTGCTTCTTTGATGTAAGGTTGTTTGTCTTACTTCTTGAGTAATGGTACTATTCCTCGACCATTGGTGATGCCATTCAAGTGCCATCCATGTAATACTATTCCAGTTTTTCTTTAATGTGTGGTCGATCCACCTCCAGTTCCTGCGTTTACCCTGTACATATTTCGCTGTGACATGTCTTCGAAAAAAAACCAAAGAGCCCAAACATTTTCATTTTTACTTCAATTTTGTACCTTTTTATTGAAAAAAGCATAACAATTTTTAATTTTTTTAAACATACAATTGGGAGTGAATTTTTTTGCTTCATTTTGATGAATTTGTGAGGCCATAACTATGTGAAGGTATCAACCAATGAAATCGGGGTTTTAAGAAGAGTGGTTTGATTTGATATTGGCTATCTTATTTTCATATATTGTTTGGTCAAGTCAGTAGCAGTTTCTGAAATAAGTGTGAAAAAACATGGAAAAAGTATGCCGAAATTTTAATTATTTTTGCAGTTGTGCTATTTTCAGTATGATGGTGTTGTTTTATTGATTTTATCTGAAGCGAAAATGTTTAGATCTAAGTAAGAGGAAAAATATTGCCTAGAGAAGAAAATCAATATTTCGAATAGTTCACGAGATATAGACTCAATAATAAGTACGTATTATTTGAAAATTGTGCTAAAATCCACCCCAGTCGAATATTTTAAAAATTAATTTAAAAGAAAACCTTAGCTAATAATGCAAAACCCATCTAGGGATTTTCTTCCACCATCACAAGCTTCAAGATTTTGGGGGTCTCGATTGGTTCAAGATTTTAAAGTTGAAAAATGTGTCACTGTGTTATCAGTGAAATTACTGAATAAGAAAGTCAACGTGAAGGTCGTTTGTCTTATCTGCCTAATAAAAGGGGTTTTTATAAATAAATCACATTTTACATTGTCAATTAAATGATAATTAATATTGTTTTTTAATTTTCGTTTTGATTTTAGGAATCAGTGCGTTTATTAGCTGGTATTGCCGATACCAGTAAAGATGGTCTTATATCATTCTCAGAATTTCAAGCTTTCGAAGGTCTATTGTGCACACCAGACGCTTTATATAAAACAGCTTTTCAATTATTCGATCGCCAAGGAAATGGAACAGTGTCTTATGGTAAGTTATTCGTACATATATTTAAAAAATCATATTGTTAATTTTGTTTATTTTTTCTCTTTTAGCTGATTTTGCTGAAGTCGTACAAAAAACCGAGCTACATTCAAAAATACCCTTCAGTTTAGACAGTCCGTTTATCAAAAGATATTTTGGTGAAGTAAGTATAAAGTACATTGATAACATCATAGATAATATATTTCCAAGAATGGTTTATGTATTTTATTGAAATAAGCCAATTGAGTTATGAGGCCTTCTTATTAAAATGTTGTATGTATAGAAGACATTCAGTCTGCCTATAAAGACTTCCTGGCATTCAACTTATCTACAAAGCACCGTTATTCAGCTCGTTTATAAGACTCCTTTCATTTATTTTATATGACTTTCTTCAGCTCGTCTATAAATACCATATTCTCCTCGTTTATAAAGACCCCCTTTAGATTGTCCAAAGTACCACATTCAGCTCGTATATAGACACGACTATTAAGACCCCGTCCAGCTCGTCTTTAAAAACTTCCTTCAGCTCGTCTATAAAAACTCCCTTCAGTTCATCTATAAAGACTCCCTTCAGTTTGTCCGTAAAGACTTCCTTTAGCTCATTTCAGTTCGTCTACAAAGACACCCTTCAGGTCATCTATAAAAACGCTCTTCAAGTCATCTATAAAGTCATCAGTTTGTCTATAAAGACTCCTTTCAGTTTCAGATCGTCTATAAAGACTCCCCTCAGTCCGTCTATAAAGACACCCTTTAGTTTTTCCGTAAAGACTCCCTTCAGGTCGTATATAAAGACTTCCTCCTGCTCGTCTATAAAGACTTCCTCCAGCTCGTCTATGCATACTCCCTTCAGCTCGTCTATAAAGGCTCCCTGTAAAGATTATCTTTAACTCGTTTAATAAGAAGCCTACCTTCAGCTAGTCCATGAAGACTCCATTCAACTCATATATAGGTACTCCCTTCAGCTCGCCTATAAATTTTGCCATTATCTCGTCTATAAAGACTCCCTAGAGACGACTATAAAGCCTCTCTAAAGCTGGTCTATTAAAACTCCTTTTAGTTCGTTTATAAAAACTCCGTCCAGATCGACTATAAAACTGCTTCCAGATTGTCTATAAAGACTCCCCTCAGTCCGTCTATAACGACACCCTTTAGTTTTTCCGTAAAGAGTCCCTTCAGCTCGTCTATAAAGAGTCCCTCCTGCTCGTCTATAAAGACTTCCTTCAGCTCGTCTATAAAGCCTCCTTTCAGCTTGTTCATAAAGACTCACATCAGCTCGTCTATAAAGTCTCCATTCAGGACGTTTATAAAGACTCCCATCAGCTCGTCTATAAAGACTCCCTTCCGCTTGGCTATAAAGACTCCTTTCAGTTTGTCTGAAGGCAGTTTGTCGTTTATATAGATTACCTTCAGCTCGTCTATACCGACTCCTTTGAGGTGGTCTGTATTATTTATTTTTATTTTATAATTTTAAATATTTACTAATTTTTAATCTTCTTCTTCTCGTCTTTTTCAACAGAAAAAACAACGTTTGATTAATTACGCTGAATTTACTCAATTACTTCATGATTTCCATGAAGAATATGCGATGGAAGCATTCCGTAGCAAAGATCCAGCTGGTTCTGGATATATTTCCCCCTTAGATTTTCAAGATATTATGGTTAAAGTGAAAAGGCATTTACTCACAGCCGATGTTAAAGATAATTTGGTAGCGGTAAGTAAAATTATTAAATTGTTCTTGTTTGCCGATTGTTTGCGTCATCAGTTGTGTTCATTTGACAGTGGTACTGCCACTGTCTCCCGTTTGAACATTCTCTCTCTATCTCACATACTTCATATTGAACCACAAAAACACAAAACATCCGATTCTTGATTCTTCCAGGTCACCGAAGGCCATAAGGTAAGCTTTCCATATTTTATGGCTTTCACGTCGTTACTAAATAATATGGAATTGATAAAACGCATCTATTTACATGCTACACAAGGTAATCGCACAGAGCCCGTTACCAAAGATGAACTATTGTTTGCCGCTCAGACAATGAGTCAAATAACCCCATTGGAAATTGATATATTATTCCAATTGACAGGGGCATTGCAACAGTCGGGGTAAGTTCAAAAAAATATTCACAAACTTTTTAAAGAAAATTATAAAAAATAGTATAAAAATCCAGAATCATGTAGTGAAGAATTATTAAAAATAAATGTTATTGAATTAAAAAAATCGAAATTCATAACCTCAATAAATTTAAAATCTTAGTATTGAACTCATTTCTCCATTTTATATAAAATTTTACAACCAAGTAATTAATTGTTTGTAATTTTGTTCTTATATAATTTTTTTGTCTTCCCTTCAAAATTCATTATTACAAAAATAAATCTCATTAACATATTTATAAACAACAAAATGTTCATCCGCTACACAAAAAAGTTGGTGGAGACGTAAAAAAATCCAAGCAAGTAGGCAAGTGTCATAAAACAAATCTATTTGTTGTTGTGATTTGGTTTTGCACAGTTTTTTCTTCAGTTTTTAAATTATGATTTCAAGCTATTTTTCTTCCATATACACCAGACTTTGAGTTCTACAACCCTTCCCGTGAAGTCCTTACCGGTTTTATTTTTTCTCGTTCATTTAGCTATTTTAATTATTAGTTTTTAATTGGTTTTTTAAATAAATAATTGAATTAATTTATTTCTATACTTTTTCTTGCAGTCGCATAGTTTATAGCGATTTAAGCATTATCGCTCCAGAACATTATACAAAGCATATCACAACAAGATTGGCCGAAATTAAGGCAGTCGAAAGTCCAGCAGATCGATCAGCATTTATACAGATTTTGGAGAGTACCTATCGTTTTACATTGGGTTCATTGGCTGGTGGTAAGTAGAAATATTAAAAGGGTCAAATTTGCCAATATTTGAAATATGTGAAACTGTAATATGTAGCCTTGGGGAATATGATATAAATTTAGCGAGGGAATGTTTCGTATTTTGAAAACTCAAAATGGTCCTGCTCGTTACTCAATATTCTTCCTGATATAATGACTCAATTCAGCTCGTCAAAAAACTCACTTCAATTCGTCTAAAAAAACTCACTTCAATTCGTCTATAAAGACTCCCTTCAGCTCGTCTATAAAGACTTCCTTCAACTCGTCTACAAAAAGACTCCTTCAGCTCATCTATAAAGACTCCCCTCATCCCGTCTTTAAATACGCCCTTCAGCTCGTCTATAAAGACTTCCTTCAGCTCGTCAAAAAAACTCACTTCAATTCGTCTATAAAGACTCCCCTCAGCTCGTCTATAAAGACTCCCTTCAGCTCGTCTATAAAGACTCCCTTCAGCCGGTCTATAAAGACTCCCATTCAGCTCGTCTATAAAAACTCCCTTCAACTCGTCTATAAAGACTCAAATTCAGCTCGTCTATAAAGACTTAAATTCAGCTCGTCTACAAAGACTCAAATCCAGCTCGTCTATAAAGACTCCCTTCAGCTCGTCTATAAAGACTCCCTTCAGCTCGTCTATAAAGACTCCCTTCAGCTCGTCTATAAAGACTCCCTTCAGCTCGTCTATAAAGACTCCCTTCAGCTCGTCTATAAAGACTCCCTTCAGCTCGTCTATAAAGACTCCCTTCAGCTCGTCTATAAAGACTCCCTTCAGCTCGTCTATAAAGACTCCCTTCAGCTCGTCTATAAAGACTCCCTTCAGCTCGTCACTCCCTTCAGCTCGTCTATAAAGACTCCCTTCAGCTCGTCTATAAAGACTCCCTTCAGCTCGTCTATAAAGACTCCCTTCAGCTCGTCTATAAAGACTCCCTTCAGCTCGTCTATAAAGACTCCCTTCAGCTCGTCTATAAAGACTCCCTTCAAGACTCCCTTCAGCTCGTCTATAAAGACTCCCTTCAGCTCGTCTATAAAGACTCCCTTCAGCTCGTCTATAAAGACTCCCTTCAGCTCGTCTATAAAGACTCCCTTCAGCTCGTCTATAAAGACTCCCTTCAGCTCGTCTATAAAGACTCCCTTCAGCTCGTCTATAAAGACTCCCTTCAGCTCGTCTATAAAGACTCCCTTCAGCTCGTCTATAAAAACTCCCTTCAGCTCGTCTATAAAGACTCCCTTCAAGTCGTCTATTTAGACTCCATTTAGTATATTTATAAAGCCTCCCTTCAGTTTGTTTATAAAGACTCCCTTCAGCTCGCTTTTAAGGACTACCTTTAGTTCCTCTATAAAAACGCCCTGTAGCGCGTCAATCAAGACTGTCTTCAACCCATATATAAATACCCTCTTCATCTCGGTCTGAAAAACTAATTTCAGTTCATTTATAAAGTCTTTATTCAGGTTATCTAAAAAGATCCATTCAGCTTGTCTATAAAGACCCCTTCATGTCGCCAAGAAATCCGTTCACCAGAATCCCTTCATCACGTCTATAAAGACTCTATTCATCAGGTTCCCTATCTAGTCTACATTATGACTCCATTCAGCTCCTCTATATAAATACTCCGTTCAGCTCTCCTTTACAGGCTGCCTTCAGCTCGTCCATTGATAGACTTTTCATCTAGTCCATAAATACTCTCTTCAACTTCATATGGGGTTTTAAAAACATCACCAGATTAAGTCTTTCATAAATGTCAGTTTCAATTAAAATTAATATAGAAAACGATATATAACCGTTCTAAAAGTAATCAATGTATTTTCCCTCCTTTTACAGCCGTTGGTGCCACTGTCGTCTATCCCATCGATTTGGTAAAGACACGTATGCAAAATCAACGCACAGGCTCATTTATTGGTGAAGTGGCCTATCGAAATTCCTGGGATTGTTTTAAAAAGGTACATATTCTCATTTTTACATTTTCATAATATAATCCAATAATTATTTTCAAATAACTTCTCAGGTTATCCGTCACGAAGGTGTCTTAGGTCTATATCGTGGTCTATTGCCACAATTAATGGGAGTAGCGCCCGAAAAAGCCATTAAATTGACTGTCAACGATTTGGTGCGTGATAAATTTACCGATAAACAAGGTGTCATCCCCCGATGGGCTGAAGTTTTGGCCGGTGCATGTGTAAGTTGTTTGTACTCCAATAATTATTTTAATTTCTTACTTTATATGGATTTTTATTTTTCATTTAGGCTGGTGGCTCACAAGTGGTATTCACAAATCCCTTGGAAATTGTTAAAATTCGTTTACAAGTTGCTGGTGAAATTGCTGGCGGTGGTAAAGTTCGTGCCTTATCCGTTGTCCGTGAATTGGGTTTATTTGGCTTGTACAAAGGTGCACGCGCCTGTTTATTGCGTGATGTACCATTTTCGGCCATATATTTCCCAACATATGCTCATACCAAGGCAATGTTTGCCGATGAAGATGGGTGAGTGTCAATGTTTATTATAAAGATTATTACTGAAAAAGTTATAGAGAGGATAATTTACTGGTGGTTATGATCTCAAGTTGTAGATAGCTGTAACTTTCATATAAATCTTAGCATGTTGTCGAATCTGACGCTGAACCATCCTAAATCAAAGAGTCGATTTCCACATTGTGTAACATGATCCTCACCACATTCAGTGACTTTCTTTCTCGTCATATTGTAGTCCTCACTTTAGAAAAAAATCTATAGAGCCGACTTTAACAATATTCAGATATTTCCAACGCCCTTACTCTCAATGATGTCAACGCGAGCCGGGATGCAAAAGTTCCCTTTCCTCGACCTAATAGAGGAAATCGGCTCATCTCACCATAGTAAAGCATTCCAACTCATCTCTGGGACGACTCACTCTTGACTGACGATCAAGACCCTGTAGATACCAATGTGATAAACACAATGTCCTAGTGATTCCGCCAAATCCTCCAACGAGGGTGGAGGTCCCATCTACATGGCATTCAGTGAAGCCTCGAGACTTCTAAGGCAACTGGCCCTTGAAGTAGAGACTGGTGCTGGTGACCTTCTCATCGAAATGATGAATGAATCAAAAGTTTCCATGAACATGTACTTGTATGGTTGACAGTCCTTGGTCGAATGTTGATTCCATTGAGTCATCCGGTGCAATTCTGCCAGAATTTCGCCCAGAGGACTGCAACATGGTGTCCTTCCTGTGCGTCAACACAACAAGATGCAATACTTGCTTGGTGTTATAGAAGTAGCTATCCAAATCATCACCGTATGGATAGGCCCACCACCTAGACATGTCAGGAAGTATCTTCATCATCAGGAAAGATCTACATCACTGAGATCTGGATGGTGTAGCCGCCTCAATTCATATTGGGAGCGAATTGACAGCACGATAAGTGCATGGCACACTACAACTTTTTTACTGCCCAGCCAAACCCACCTCTGAGAAATATATTTACTGGAGAGAGGTAAATTTCTGCAACTGGTTTATAGAACGGGACAGAAACACTATAACCGACAAGGAATTTCTTTTGATTAAGAGGAACCTCAAATTTATTCAAAAGTTTTCTCGGAACTATCCGAATGACATGGCGGATTACTTCCTAATCGAAAGAATTCCTAGGTCGAGTGTGAAGGCTACCTCAGTCATCCCTCCGAATGAGGTAAAGACTGTGTGTAGTCTGATCACAAACGAGAAGAGATCTCTGAATGTTGAGAAGTCTTGGCAACATCCTCCACTGTGAAATAGGGCAATTTCTGCAAATGGTTCATCGAACGGGACAGAAATATTGTAACCGATAAGGAATCCCTTCTGATTTACAGGAACCTAAAATTCATTCAGAAGTTTTCTCGGATCCGAATGACATTCCGAAGGACTTTTTAATCGAAAGAACTCCTAGGTCAGTTTCCCATCAAAATGAGGATAAGCCAAAATAACCGGGTGTTGGTATGCCAATGAAGTTCGTACACATAGATATCCGATATATCATGATCGTGAATAGCCCAGATTACTGTTCGCAGTTTAGCCAATCAGAAATATTTTTATACTACTACATATTTCTATAATACTATAATGTTTTGAATCTTTTCAGCTACAATCATCCTCTGACCTTATTGGCGGCTGGTGCCATTGCGGGTGTACCTGCTGCCTCCTTGGTAACTCCTGCCGATGTGATAAAGACCCGTCTACAAGTTGTGGCACGTTCTGGACAGACCACATATACTGGTGTCTGGGATGCCACAAAGAAAATTATGGCTGAAGAGGGTCCTCGGGCCTTCTGGAAGGGAACAGCCGGTAAGTTCTAACAAATTCCTAAAAAGAAAAAAATAATTAAAGCAATTTTCCATCTCTTTACAGCCCGTGTCTTCCGTTCATCACCACAATTTGGTGTTACTCTAGTTACCTATGAATTGTTACAACGTCTCTTCTATGTCGATTTCGGTGGCTCACATCCCACCGGTTCGGAAGTGCACAAGCCCAAACCCATTGATACATCCAATGTACGCATCAATCCCGATCACATTGGTGGTTATCGCGCTGCAGTACCTTTACTAAATGGCATCGAATCGAAGTTTGGTCTATTTCTACCACGTTTCGGATTTTCAACACAACAACAGACACCTGCCTCGGGAGCAAGTAAAACCTCCTCATGATGACGATATCGTAGTTTATATTAAGTTCTTCTTTGATTTCTTTAACATTTAACTTTCTCTGCGTTTCCGTTATGCCAGTTTCAAAAATTAGTTTTGAAGTTACAATTATCATTAGAATGTAGTTTTTAACGTTGTGTGAAGAAAAAAAATTGAAAGAATGAAGGGGGCCTATAACGAAAACGGAGTTTTTCGGCAACGACATTTGTGTGGGTTGGAGGGAAAGGCCATTAAATTTTGAGAATTGAGTTAGATTTTTTGTTAGGGTTATGAATTAAGATTTGTTTGGTTTTATAAATTTAGAATTATTTGGGGAAACGAGAGTAGAACAATCATTACAACACCACCCTCAAAGAACAAAATGATGAAAGAAAATGCTAAAAGGAAAATGCAAGGAAACGAAACAAAACCAAAAAACAAATGTTTGTGAAATTAAAAAAAAAAAATATAATAATAAAAAATATAAAAAAAACAACTTACAAAAAATACAAAATAAAAATATATTTTTTGCTAGGAAAATTATTATATTTCAAAAAAAAAGAGAAAAAATAAACTTAACTTATTTAAGTATAACAGTTACAAAGAAAATTAAAAAGTCTAGAAACAAAGAAAAATCACACAAAGAAATTTTTGTAAAACAATTTTAGGGGTCACCTTTTTTGCTAAGCAGAACAACATTTTGTATTAGATTTTTTTTTTCAAATTTCCTCCTCTTTCAATTACGAATACTTTTGATTTACCACAATTGACAGTAAAAAATTAAAAAAACTCAATTTGAATTTTTAAAATAACAAACCACACACACACTCACACCTACAAACATATGTTACAATTATGCCAACTGATCTTTATTTTTTTGTTAGTGCAAAAATAATAAAAATAATTAATTAAATTATATAAGAAATTTAAATAAATAAAAAATTGTTTGATAAAAAATACATCTCTTACATATTCTACACATTTAATTATAACAATTTTCAATTTTTTAACACAAATATTGGTTTGTTCCATACTTGGAAGTTTATAAAAAATTTGAAATGTATAAATGGAAAATAAAAAAACTATTTCGATTAATAGAATATTCTTGTAAGTTCTGGAACAGACCATGCGTCAATCAACCTTTGTTATATGAAACCGGTTATTATAATTTTTGAAATTCGAATTATTATTAAAACAATTTATTCGAGAAATGTATTTAGAATCGAACTTCTCTATAATTTTGATGTTGGGGACTAATAATCATTTCGATCGGTTTCAAACCGGGCACTCCCTTTGGTTAGATTATTTTAATCAATTTTGATTGATTCCCTATAGATGCCAGAATCTCGTTCGAAAAAATAATTCTTAAAAAAACATTATAAGTCTGTTGAATGGTGAGTATTCTCCAAAACTGAGGCTGATAATAGAACTAAAATACATTTCCACAAAATTATTTTTATTTATTTTTTATATTAATTTATTAACGAAGTAATTGTAATAGAATTAAACTATTTTTGGTAGTTAATATAATCTTTATTTGATATGCAATTTTGATTTAAATTCCAATTTCAAAGCAATATATCTATTTAATTAAAAAAGTATATTTACCTTATCAAATTAATGCACCATTTATGTTATTTAAAAAAAAAATAACCCCACAACTAATAAAAAAATATTTTATTAATTGAAAAAAAATTAATAATTCAACTAAAAAAACGAAACCAAATATTGGAAGTAAATCAATTGATTACTACAAAACAAAACCGAAAAAAGGTATCAACTTTATATAAAAAAACAAATTGAAAATAGCATTTAAGATATAGAAAAAAAAGAGTTTCTTAACAAAAAGAATTATATATTTATTCTTTTTCACAACAAAAAAATATATTTAAAAATAAAATAACAAAAACTCAATACAAGTACGAAGTATAACACTTTTTATTATCTTGCACTGTATTAAAAAACAAATTGACAAACAAAAAATAATGAAATACAAATAGATTTATTTAAATAACTTTTTTCTCAAATTAAAAAATGAAAAAAACAAACACAACTCAATATTAATAAAGAATATACATATTTATTATATAAATAGTAAAAGAAATTATTAAAAAATTAAAAAAAAACAATACAACACACTGCTGCCGCCCATTCAACAAAACAAACACACAAAACCAACCAACCAAAAAAAAAAAAAGGAATTCAAATTTGATACAAACAAAACACAGGATACCAAAAACAAAAAACATTTGTCAACGGAACCTTGGCTGAAATATTTTGTGTTTCGTAACTGGAAAAAAGGAGTCTGAACCTTACGATTGTTTGTTGATAATGTTTCGATGTTTGTAACAATGCCTCAGTATTTGTTTGCAAAACAATTTTCATTTATATCGTATATACAAAAATTTAGTTTAATTTTGTTTTTGGCATACATACATGTAATAGAATCTGTAATAAACGTATTTTTGGAAACAAATCCACTTAAATTATAGGTAGCCTAATTTTTTGTCTCTTTTTTCTTTTAAAAATAAATAATAAAATAAACAAAACAAAGAAAACTTTAAACTGTTGATAAAAATATATATAAAAACAAATTTAAATAAATTAAATAAAGAAAACTATTTTCATTAAAAAAAACTAATTTTGAAATTGGTTAATTCATATCCAGGTGGTAGAGGTAAGTATTAAAAACATGTCGGAAAATTAAATATTTAAATAAAATATGCATTTCAAATATATAAAAGCCTCTTAATTACGTTTCAATCAAAATATATATCATCTGCAGAATTTCTATAGATGAACTTCTTTAAGAGCTTTTAGACAAGTCTTATACACATTAATAATATTTTTTATTTTGTAATATTCAATTGAAATGGATCTCCAATTTATGGTCTATACTTAAAATGTATACAAAATGTATATTTTCTATAGAGGAAATCGGAATCGGTATATTTAACATTTATTTAAAACCTTTAAAACTATCCCGATCCCACTATAAAACTGCTTTCTCCACATAGAAAATAAATCCAACATAAAAGGGTTGGCTAATGGCATACTTTTATCAAGCGCCTAAGAGTATGCTTTAATTTTATCAATTTCATCATAATCACCACATAACCACTACAAACGATATGGCAAGGTAGCCAAAATAATCATTTTCTGTCACATGCCAAATACATGGATTTTTCATTTTCACATAATAGGCGAACAGAACTGAACAGTAGCTATATTTTGCATGAAGGTCAACTTTAAATTGAAATATCTCGGGAAATACTTACGTGATTGCGATGATTTTTTCAACAATGGTTAAAGGAAAATTTAAAGTTTTTTTGCAAATCGAAAATTATTAGAAACAATTATCATTTATGGGAGAAATTCATCAAAAATACCAACTTGAAGAATGTGAAGCTAATCAACTGATTTTTTGTACTGTGTTATAGTTGGCACAATTCTCAACTAGTATTGAGGGATATGGGTGTCCTATATCCGGCAATGCTTGTAGGAAATGGTATTAAGTGATATATTTCTCACAAATGCAAAATAATGAATTATGATCTTGCCATGTCTTATAACGTTATTTTAAACGGAAAATAAGTTATTTTCGGACTATTAGAGCTGTGGGTCTTAAAAATTTAATGGAAAATTGGCCATTAGTGGAAAATTTATTCGATATTATTATATTTATATTACCCATTGGAAACGATTAAATATATTGCAAGAAATAATTCGTTTTTAGTAAAAATAGCATTTGCACGGATGTCAATGGGTTCCTTTTGCATTAAAATTAAACATTGCAAATAAAGTGAAAGAAACTAACGATTTGGTCCAAAACTGTAGCTAATGAGGGTATATGCTATTTGTTACGAAATAAATGTATATCATCGAAATATCGCTATTTTATCTATTTATTGTGAAAATTTGGAAAATTTATTAATTCAATATTTAGGGAATGGAATGTCCGATTTGATCCAAACTTTGCAAATCGTAATACTATATAAAATCCGAAAATACTCCTTCTGGTACCTCCCCCATGTGGTATATATCACGCGAACGGACTCTCCGATTTGAACTAAACTTTGCACAACCTAATATTTTAACGAAGTAGTATAATTTTGAAAGGTGGGGCTTATGTCCACTCATTCCAGTTCCTCACCCACAAAGGGTATACATTTTGAAAACTTGTAAATCTCATATGTAGCGAACGGAATATCTTATTTCATCGAAACTGTACATATTGTAATATTTGGTCCGAAGAAGGTGCACACTCATTTTGGTGAAAGTGTGTGAAAAATTTTAAAATTTTGTTAAATTGTTAATTCATTATAAAACGAATGGAAAATTCAATTTGATTCAAACTTTGCAAATCGTAATACGTTTACCAAACCTACATGAATTCCGAAGCAGTATTCCGATGGGCCCCATCATCGGTATACTCCACTTGGTACCACCGCCACAATGATTTGATAGATTTGACCTAAACTTTGCGCGTCAACATTTTTGATTTCAACTTTAGTCAATATGAATCGAATTGAGTTTACGATTTAATCAAAACATTCCACATAGTAATACTTTTACTAAACCTAGATCAAGTCCGAATAAGGAATTTATCGGTCCATTTCTTTAGGTACTTCTCCCACAAATTGTCCATTTTTTGCACAATATTAATGCTATTTACAAAACCTATTTTAATTTCGGACCTAATACAAAACAATAAGTGTCTAAATTTAAAATATTTCATATGAAACTAATGGATTATAGGAATTGATCTGTTAAGTGGATATCGTAAAATTTTTACCCATTCCCTTTGGTACCTCCATCTAAAAAGGTCAACGTTTTAAAAAATCTTGTAAATTTCATATTAAGCGAATAGTGTATCCGATTTTGTAAAAACATGTACATAATCTAAACCGAATGGAGAATCCTGTATAGTCTAATCCAAGAAAACCTTAATATTGATACTAATCATAGTTTAAGTGCAATTAAAATATCATCAAGTCCAAAATATTTTTTATATATTACACATAAATCAGCAAAATATCAATCGACATATTTCCCTTCATT